GATCTCACTTATATATGGAATATAGTGAACATAACAGTTTGAGGAATAGGGTAGACCCAGAAGCATGGAAGTAGGGTACAGACTGACAATCCCCAGAAGAAGGGGGGAGGGGGGAGGGAAGAGATAAACCACAGAACCTATGTGCATGTATGCATAACCAATGGTCATGGACAACAAAGCTGGGGACAGGGCAGGGGGGATGGGGAGGAGGGTGTCAATGGGTTAAAAAAGGAGAAACATCTGTAACAAAAATAAAATTTAAAAAAAATTATAAAAAAAAAAAGATTTGGAATGAATCTGCCTGAGTGTAGTAACTTATGGAGTACTGGTGGTATATTAAATTTATAGGTATTTTAAATCAAGCTGTGTTTCATACCATGAAATCAGAAATGTCATTTTACAAAATCAATTCAAAGGTCAAAATTAATAGTTGGTAGTGTTACTATTAATTTGATTGTAGTCAGGGAATAGGAAAAAAAACACACACGAGTTGAAGTAAGTTGATTCTTGATTTTTAAAAAATAATGCTTATGACTAAGTTGTTTTCTAAAATTGCTTTTTTATTATTTCTTCTTCTTGGATTTTTTTTTCTGGTGTTTCTATCAGCTTTAATCTCCTTTCTCATTTCTTTGCTTAGTATAATACAGATATTCTCCAACTTTCCTGAATTTTTAGCCACTTGATCATATGATTTTCCTACTATTCCATTAATATACTGTTCACATGCATAATGTTTATATGCCATATGTCCATTTTAATCCAAGTAGGAATATGTTAAATCATATGTTTTACCTGCCTTTTTATTTCTCATGTTTTTTTAATCCTCACCCAAGGATATGTTTTTATTAATTTTAGAGAGGAAGAGGGAGAGTGAAAGAGAGAGAGAGAGGGAAACATTGACTGGTTGCCTTCCATACATGTCCCAACCAGGGATTGAGCCCACCACCTACGTGTATTCCCTGACCCAAAATCAAACCTTCAACCTTTTTGATGAATGGGATGATGTTCCAACCAATTGAGCCACCCATCCAGGCTACCTGCCTGAAAATTTTTTTTTTATTGAATTTATTGTGGTGACATTGGTTAATAAAATTATATAGGTTTCAGGTGTACAATTCAATAATACATCATCTGTATATCGATTGTGTGTTCACCACCCAAGTCAAGTCTCCTTCCATCATCATTTATAGCCCCTTTACCCTCTTCTACCCCCTATGTCCCTTACCTACCTTTTTAACAGTCAAAACCATTATCATTGGGTTGAAGTTGATATAGGAATACTAAATTGGAAGCTTACCTTAACCTAGGTTGGGTTTCCATGAAAGGCAGTATTTGAGGTAGTGTTAGTCAACATTAATCAAAAGAAAAATAAGTTGTTTGTTGAAGTGGAATTGAAGTTTATTATAGCAACTTTGTTTTTATATTTTTTTCTACAATTCACGTATTATCACCAAGGCATCTTTAAATCATTATTGTATTAACAAATTGAAACTATTTCTGTAATCTATGCCATTTATGTAATAGGTGTTATAGATTACTAATATTATAACCAGTCTATTTTACAATAATAGGCACTTTAAAAAATTATTTTGAAATAATTTAAAACTTTCAAATTATTTATGCACTCGATCTGCTTTCCTACAAAACTATGATATCTTTGCATCCTCACTTTCTGGATTGTATCCATTATGTAATATAAACTTAGTGAATAAAAGGATGAACTCATTATTTACAAGGCTATAAATTGAAGTCCTGGAATTTTCAGTAGTGTTTTTGCTCTAATGTCTTTACTGATATCCCAACAATCTCAACTCCTAATTGAGTACCTTTAGTAATTGACAGTGAAAACATATTTTAAATGGCTACTTTAAACCTGCTACAGAGTTATGTAATTTTTCACTTAGTAACATCTAATGCTGCACTAGTTATTTTACTATAGTCTTATTTAGTATGTCATTTATGTACCTTATATAATATGAATTAAGTTAAATTTTATTAGTGTTTAATCATGATACTTTAAGTCTAGGAAATCTCAAATCAAGACCTGAACACTAACCACATCAGACTAAAAAGTTCTTGCCCAGCAAAGGAAACCATCAACAAAGTGAAAATACAACCCAATGAATGGGGGAACATATTTGCTGATACATATGATAAGGGGTTAATATCAAAAATTTATAAAACTCAACACCAGAAAAGACAACACAATTAAAAAATGGGCAAAGGACCTGAATAGACGCTTCTCCAAAGAGGACAAATAGATGGCCAATAGACATATGAAAAGATGCTCAAAGTACTAATCATCAGAAAAATGCAAATTGAAACCACAATGAAATTTCACCTCACACCTCTCAGAATGGCCACCATCAGTAAATCAACAAACAACAAGTACTAGGAAGGATGTGGAGAAAAGGGAACCCTCCTGAACTGTTGGTAGGTACGCAGATTGGTGCAGCCACTGTGGAAAGCAGTATGAAGTTACCTCAAAAAATTCAAAATGGAACTGCCTTATGACCCAGCAAGTCCACTTCTGGGAATTTATCCAAAGAAATCCAAAATACTAATTTGAAAGGATATACGCACCCCTATGTTTATTGCAGCGTTATTTACAATAGCCAAGATTTGGAAATAGCCCAAGGGTCCATCAGTAAATAAGTGGATAAAAAGCTGTGGTACATTTATACAGCGGAATACTACTTGACAGTAAAAAAGGAAGGGAGTTCTACCCTTTGTGATAGAGCATTAGGCTAAGTGAAATAACCCAGTCAGAGAAAGACGAATACCATGTGATTTCACTTCTATGTGGAATCTAATAAACAAAATGAACTAACAAACGAAATAGTGACAGACTTATAGATAGAGAGCTGGCTGACAGCTGGGTGGGGGGGTCGGGGTATGGAGTGGAGAGTTAGGGGGGTTGAGCAAAAAAGAAAAAAAATGAAAAACTCATGAACATGCACAACAGTGTGGTGATAGCCAGGGGGAGAGGTGGTGGAAGGAGGTAGAGGAGGGAATAGGGGAGATAAATGGGGATGGATGAAGGCTTGGCTTGGGATGGTGAACACACAATACAGTGTACAGATGATGTATGGTGGAATCGTGCACCTGAAATCTGTATAACTTTGTTAATTAAATAAACAAAAAAGATCTGAACACCAGTTTCATTAGCAAGGATAAATGGTAACATTAAAGAGTTTAAATGCAGGGCTTTCAATAAAGATAATTTGGTTAAATTAAGTTACTTTTTTATGAAAATGAGAATATGATTTATTAATTTACATATTTTAGGAGATACCTAAAGTATCTAGAATACATAAGTGCCTTATTTATACTGGTTCTTTAAATATTGAGTACTTATGAGGTGAAATAAGTAATCAGAAAGTTTTTTTAAGCACTGAATTAGAGCAGTGGTAGGTAAGTATCTTGGAATTTAAGAATCGAGAGCACCTGTCTGGTAGAAATATGATAGTAGCCACAAATACAAGCCATATGTAATTTAAAATTTTTAGCAGCACATTTTAAAAAAAACTAAAAAGAAGATTAAGTTAATTTTAATAATATAGCTTATTTAACTCAATATATCCACAGTGTTATCTAACATATAATCAGTATTTTTAAATTAACATTTTTTATACTAAGTAGTTAAGATATGCTATGTATTTTACACTTAATGTACATCTCAATTAGCATATTAACTTACTAGCTCCTTCAGTTACTGAAGAAAATTATTGAATATTTTTGTCTCAATTTCTCCAATTGTACAATGGAGACAGTCGTAACCCTTAAATTAGATAATATATAATATGCCTAGCAAATGGTAGTGTTATGTAAATATTAGTGGCTTTCCAAAAATATTTCAAAGATAATATGTAATGACATAACTGCCCCAAGGCAAAGATCATATCTTAGGCATTAAATTTGTAACCCTCAAACACTCATCTTTTTCCATTAGTGCTGGTTACACACATCTCTCTGAATCCTTATTTAAATTATTTTTTAAAAAGCAAAATTATTATTGGCTCATCAATTGTGACAAAAGAATCACACTAATGTAAGATATTCAAAGAGAAAACTGTGGTGGGAGATTTGTGAAATAAATTTCTTTTTTTCTGGTTATTTTCTCTGTAAACCTTAAACTACTGTAAATGTAAAATCTTTTATAAAAATAAACAGCCCTGGCCGGTTTGGCTCAGTGGTTGGAGTGTTGGCCTGCGGACCAGAGAATCCCGAGTTCGTTTCCACTAAGGGCACGTACTTTGGTTGCAGTTTATCCTGGCCCTGGTTGAGTCGTGCAGGTGGCAGCCACTTGATATGTCCCTTTCACGTCGATGTTTTTCTCTCTCTCTTTTCCTCTCTCTCCCTCCCACTCTATCTGAACAAAAAATGGAAAAATGTCCTTTGGTGAGGATAAAAACAAACAAAAAAGCACACACCTCCTGGCCAGTGTGCCTCAGTGGTTGAGCATCGACCCATGTACCAAGAAGTCACCAGTTTGATTCCCGGTCAGGGTACGTGCCCATATCCCCAGTGGGGGGGAGGGGTATGCAGGAGGCGGCCAGTGGATGTTCTCTCACATCAAGGTTTCTATCGTCCTCTCCCTATCTTTCTCTCTAAAATCAATAAAAGAAAAAAAATTTTTTTAATTAAAAAAAAGCAAATACCATATCTGCTACTGATTCTTGATATATCTTAATTGTGACAGAATATATCAGTAAAAGTGTCAGTTTCAGTATTATTAAAACCAGCAGAGAAGTTTAATTATGGTTAAAAATATAACTTAATGTTTCCTCTTCCAGTGGTCATTCATTATCTACCTCTTTTTAATTAATATAATAGGAAAAAAATCACAACATGGTTGTTTTTCCTTCATGGTTATTGGGATGGTAATGGCCATTATTGGTGGTACTCTGATGTTAATGGAAGAAATAGCCTTGTTTTTTGTGTGTGTGTTTTATTAATATACTAGTGCTGGTTTTTAGAATATTTTCTTCTGATTTCAGGTTGGGTGGGACTATATCAGCATACAAGATAGTACCAGACGAAATAGAAGAAATCAAGGTATAGTATGGCATTTTGTACCTCTACAGAACTTAATATTTTGGTGGCAAGTTGGGGAACAATTGCTTTTTTTTTATCCTCACCTGAGGACATTTTTGCATTCATCCTCAGATAGAGCAGGAGAGAGAGAGGGAGGAAGAGAGAGAGAGAAAAACATCGATGTGAGAGAGATACATCTACTGGCTTCCACCCACATGACCCCAACCGGGGCTGGGGACAAACTGCAACCGAGGTATGTGCCCTTAGCAGGACCTGAACCCGGGTCTCTCTGGACCGCGGGCCAATGATTTAACCGCTGAGCCAAACCGGCCAGGCTAATTGCTTATTCTTTATGCTGTTTAATTTTGGGGTGTATTAGGACAGCATTTAATTCCAAGTTATCCTCTTTGAAGTTATATATGCATACATATATATCTCTCAGGTAACCACCATCAGATTTCTTTCATAATTATCAATGTATTTGTAAGAAAAATAGTAGGAGAATAAAAAGTAACCCATTTCTATGAAATTCGTTGAAAAATCTACTAAGGAAAAACAATGTATTTATACATTAGTGTGCATAATGAGTTATCTTTTTATCTTGTTTTCATTTCTTTTCCTTATAAGTTTTTACCAATTATAAGTAATACCAGACTTCTAGTAAATATCACCTGGTTCCTTTGAAAACAATATGTCAATTTCAATTAAAAATTTATAGTACTGGCCCTGGCTGGGTAGATCAGGGTAGAGTGTAGTCTTGATAATGCCAAGTTGTGGGTTCAATCCTTGGTCTGGGCACATACAGGAATCCACCAATGAATGCATAAACAACAAAATCGATGTTTCTCACCCTTGTTGGGTAGTTCAGTTGATTGGAGCATCATCTGTCCACCAAAAGGTTGTCAGTACAATTATTAGTCAGGGTGCGTTCAGGAGGCAGATGATTGATGTTTCTCACTCACATTGATGTTTCTGTTTCTCTCTCTCCCATCTTCTCTTTCTAAAATCTGTAAAAGCATATCCTTGGGTGAGAATTTAAAAAAATTTTAATTGATATTTCTCTCACTAAAATCAATTTAAAAATTTACAGTACAATAAATGAAAAATGGACATTTTTTAAAATTACAGCATTACTACATACAGTCTTCTGTTTCTAACATTTTAGTAAACCTTATGGACTATTAGTTTTCTAACATAACATGTGGCCCTTGTTTAAAAGCAGTTTACACCCGGCCATTGTGGCTCAGTGGTTGAGTGTCCACCCATGTACTGAGAGGTCACCTGTTCGGTTCTCGGTCGGGGCACATGCCCAGGTTGTGGGCCCAATCCCCAGTTGTGGGCATGCAGGATGCGGCCAATCAGTGTTCTCTCTCATTGACGTTTCTATCTCTCTCTCTCTAAAATAATAAAGAAAAAATTAAAAATAAATAAATAAAAGCAGTTTACAATCTAACGAGAATTGAACTTAGTATCTATTCCATAAATAAAAGTTAACAGTTGGATAGAAGTAGTAAAGAATAAACAATACTGAGTTAAAGTGTTTAAAATGACGTGTAAAGTTCTCAACAAATCATTAATGTTTTGATCAACTTTCCAAAATCAAATTAAATCCAATTAAAATTTTAAGAGTATTTTTTTTTTTTTAATGATTTTTAGAGAGAAGAAGGGAGAGGTAGAGAGAGAGAGAAACATCGATGAGAAAGAACATCGATTGGCCACCTCCTGCATGCCCCAACTGGGGATTTGGCTCACAACCTGGGCATGTGACTTGACCGGGAACCGAACCAATGACCTCATGGTGCATGGGTCTACACTCAACCACTGAGCCACATCGGCTGGGCTAAATATGTTTTTATGATGACTTTAGAAAGAGAGGAAGGAAGAGAGAGAAAGAGAGAGACATCGATGTGAGAGAGAAATTGTCTGCCTCCTGCATGCTGCCTACTGGGGATCAAGCTCACAACCCAGGTATATGCCCTGACCCAGAATCAAACCAGGACCTCTCAGTTCATGAGATGACACTCAATCCACTGAGCCACAGCAACCTAGCAGTAAATTCAAATCTTAATAAAGAATTTTTTAATTTGTTTACATTATTTTTAAATTAGTTGAGCTCATTGATCTTTATTTTGTAGTATACTGTTAGTTTCAATAAGTCAGTTGTTAGGTATAGTTAATATTAGGGATTAATGCCATGACTATATTCTAGCTCTAAAAAAACAAAACAAAAAAGCAGGATTGTCAAGAGACTTTCCCAAACTTGATATAAATTTTCAAAATAGTTGGCCAGGGAGGAACCTTTGGTCTAATCCAGATCTCTCTTTTTTTAAAAGAGAAAATGGGATTAATGAAGGTGAACTTGTTAAAATTAATTGTTTGAGGTTCAGTTATTACTTCCAAAAATATAATCAAGGGTTTAAAGGGTCAGAATAACAGAATATTACTTCTTGAGATATATGTTATAATGCCATAAAAGACTTAAACTGGGTAGGAACTTTTAAGTAATCAATAAATGTAAATATAAATAATTAAGCCACATTTATATAAAGGATATAGATTTGAAATTCATCTCTTTAAAATGTGCTCTGATTTATTTATAATTATAATACGTTATGTGATTAAGGTAAACAAAATGTTCTGTGAAAGACCTAGGAAGGGCATTTGGCCATTTGAAAAAGATAATCGGCAATCTTTCCAAGAACTTAACAAACTGGAGTTTTATACAGTTCTGTACTCTGTGAAAGCATAAATATGAAATAATATGGGAATAAGTCACCAGGTTAAAATTAATACTGTTGAGATATTGGACTGGCAGTGGACCTTTATGCCTTAAGAAATGTAGATTTTATATTGAAAACTATGGGGTGCCATTATATGATTTTTAAGAAAGAAAATAACGTAATCCGCTTGGTAAATTTTCTGTGATAAATGAGAAAAACAAAGAGGAGGTTCCATCTATAACGTAGACCAAAATGCAGGAATATAGCCACCACATGAAAAACCTGAGCTAAAGTGGGGACAGTGAACCTGAAGAAAAGACTCAGATTCAAGAAATATTATTTAAGAAAAATAAAAAAATACTTTATGATTTATTGGATGTTTAGGAGAAGATGGAAAGATTGAGTCATGTTTCTGGCTCAGGAAACTGAGTAGCAGATTATGTTAATTGTTAAAGAGGAGATACAAGAAAAGGACTAAATTTGAGAGGAAAGAGAGTGAGTTTTTATGTATTTAATGTGTCATTTTATATCCATCTCAGATAATCAAATATCTAGTAAGTCACTGGATAAATCATCCTGGAACTCAGAAAAGATAATTCTGTCTTTTGATTGATATTGGGATTTGTCGTTATATAAGCTAATTGAGACTATGCTAGTACATGCAGTCACCTGAAAAAGCTGTATGAGGTAATAATAGTGGACTGAAACTGTTGCCCTAGGGAAGGCCATCCTAGAAACAGAGGATTAATATGTTATTTTTTAGTTTAAGTGCAAAAATTTTGCTTCTTTTTTATAGTGACTTTTCTCTAAAGAAGGAGTTTTCTCATTTTGCTTATGGAAATTCCAGTTATAAGAGGTATTCATCAAGAGACTTTTTTTTTTTTTTAAATTAAATGGTTCATGGATAACACATGATACGTGATTTTTTTCCCCCATATAAATTACTAGTATTGCCTGGTCAGTGTGGCTCAGTGGTTGCACGTCGACTCATGAACCAGGAGGTCACCAGCTCGATTCCTGGTCAGGGCGCGTGCCCAGGTTGTGGGCCCAGTCCCCAGTGGGGGGCATACAGGAGGCGGACAGTCGATGTTCTCTCTCATCGATGTTTCTATCTCTCTCTTCCTCTCCCTTCCTCTCTCTCTAAAAATCAATAAAGAAAAAAATTTTTTGAAAAATAAAATAAATAAATTACTAGTATTATATCTAAAACAACTTCAGAGAGTTTGAGGCCTCAGGCATAAAAGAAACTATTATTTCACCAACATATGATGGCACCATTTACATTTCCAGATGAAAACAGATAGTATAATCTTTTTGTTTTGATTAGAGGAAATGGAAAGCATCTGGTTGTAATGTTTGTTTTAGTTGGATAACATCTGAGTAATTTTAAATTATTTAGATAGTACAATTGAGTTTGTATTTGAATTATATTGCCTATAATTTACTATGTATAAATAAATATGTATACAAATTTTTACTAATAAAATATATGATTGATTGATAAAACATAATTTCATTTTTATCATATGTGGTAATCTTTCACAATATTTCTAATACCAGAAATGATTAGTTAGTTTATACATAGTTTGAATTGATTACAATAAATTACCTCACGGTGAATGGATGCTTGCTCAAAGGCTTAAGGAATAAAGAGTGACTATTATCCTGGCACAATCACAATAATCTCATTCACCCAGTATCCTGAGTTTTTAGTCATTATTAGTTCCTGGCTTTATTTAGTTTTACCACTCATGGGCATCTTCTTAAATATTATAACTTACTTGTGCTTTTGCTTGAACTTTATATGAATTGAATCACATGGTATATACTCTTTTGTGCCTTCATTCTTTTGTTCAACACAGATTCATCCAAGTCATTGTCAATAGCTAAGTTTCTTTCATTGTTTTGGCGGTGTTGGGTTCTTTTTTGGCCATAAAATACTTCATTGTGTCACAAATTATTGAGAACTGTTGTTGGGCATTTAGCTTGTTTCCGTTTGCAGTTATTATGAAAAATTATGCTATAAAATTTTTAAAAAGCATCCTGTATAAGAGTTTCTCTGAGGTATACACTGAATAAAGGAATTCCTGGTTTTAAAGTAATGTGTATTTTTAACTTTTCTGGATGAAATCAGTTTTCTAAGGTAATTATGCTAATTTACACTACCACTTTGGGTGTATTTATTTTAAAGAGAGATATTTAAATATGTACTCTTTAATCTATCTGTAATTTATATTGGAATAAATTTATTGTTATATATAGGATGACTTACAGTGTACACCCCAATTTATTGAAAAACCT